AGCATTTGTTGTGAACATCCGTAGCCTTTTTAAATAGGAGTAATTCTTCTTGGTGCTCTTGCACACAAATACATCAGTTATAGACGAATGAACAACTTGGCAAAGTTCATTCTTTCGATTCAGACTGTGTTGATATTGAACTATGTGTTGCAGAGCTCTTTGTTCTTTCTGTTTCTAATATTTCTTTATGTTCAGAGTCATTTTCAAGTTACAGGATTAATGTGGGATCTGTGAGCACTTCCCTGACACTGTAGCATGATGAATGGGAGTCTATAAATCTAACATTTGCATGCTAAACAATGTGCTGACTGTGTGAATTTGGGTATCTTAGTGTCAGCGTACTAGTAAAGTCCATTATCTCTCTTTTTGTTACACCTTATATTGTTCTTGTTGGCTACTTTCTTCAGGGTTCTGACTCGCTTTGAGGACCAAAGTGACACCTCAGACAGTTTCTCTTCACGGTGGGGCGATAGAGATGATGGAAGAGGCTGGATGAAAGAGAGCAGGAAACCAGAGTCAGACTTGTTCTTGTCCTCCACTATAACTTCATTTGATGACAGGTTGGTTGTTTAAACACAAAACTGAAGTTTTCTACATGTTTTTATGGTTAGGTTTAATGATTCAAAGCAAATTTTAGTTAAATACAACAATCAAAATTAACAACAAATTAAGATAAGGGCTTTCTAGAAAAAATCTGATTATGTTATCAAATAAAATAATCAGATTTATTCTATTTTATCAAATAAAATTACTATTTACAAAAAGAAATTAGTAAATAATTTAGTTACAATCCATTAGCAGCTGTTGTTATGTGTTTATTTTTTAAACCGTCTAGACCCTGAAAAAATTAATTTGAGGTCATGTATGTTGAAGAAAAACAACATACAGTCCTGGAACCAGACGGTTTTTCTAAATGTTTGCTTAAAATGATTAAAATATAAACAACACAAGTAAAAAAACAACAAGTTATGAAATATTATAAATGCAGTTTAGTAATGGCACAATTTTTACACCTCAGCTGCAAAAGGCTGATGGGTGACAAGCAATAACTCGAGAAGAAGGCAAAGGAGAACTTTGAAAATGATAGCATAAGTGCGTCTGCTAGCTGGCTGAGGTGTAGTGCTGGTGGTCATCAGTGCTTTTTAATTGTAGCTTAAGATACTTTTTACACAAAGTTAAGACTCTTCAGTCTTGAATATGTTTGGTGTAATTTAATTCAGCGTGTTCTTTTAAAATACACGATTTGTGCTTAAAGTACTTCTTCCTGTTGTCATATTATTATTTTTT